AGCCATGAGTCAGTCATTAAGACCAAAGATAATTTAGCCACGAGTAAATCAATACACATGGATAATTTTGTCAAGAATGAGTTAGTAGTTCCTCAAATGTCAGATGAGTCAGTCAGGAGGGAGTGAGTGATGTGTTAAAAATGTGTAACGCCCAGCCAAGTACAAGGAAAAAGGTGTGTTATTATGTATAACTACTGTAATTACTTTCAGCAAGTGGGTGAGTCAGAAGCTGTACCTCACACCACACCAACTACCAACACAGGATACTACACTGGTCACATTCTATTCAATTCAATTTAACTTAAGTAAAATCATCAGCCCTCGTGGCCAACGTGATAATGTGGTTGGAAATATTATTTTTATCTTAATGTTTAAACTTTTGATAATTAGCTCACTAACCTAGAAGAAGTGTTTAAAGTTGTTAGTTATTGAAGCACAGCTATACAATATATCAACAACATATTAGCCCCATAGTCCCGGGTTGGGATCTGTACTGAGGAGACCGCGTATAGGTGAGAGTCAACATAGTTCTAACAGTATACAGTAAGTGAATTATACCACCATCGACCTGTAGTAAAAAACTAAACTGCTTCACAAATATCCTACCAAGAAGAAGGGGGAGGAGTTACACGTGACGTTACCTCCTGTTGTTGTGGGTCTTCAAGTTCGGGTATTTAACGAGATATTCTACAAATGTTTCTGCCAGTCTCCAGGATTCCAGGAAAAATTTGAATTGGCAAGTACAATTTGCATAGTATTTATATTTTTGGACAGTTATAAAGCCCAACAGTCGGAGAATAAATAAAGTAATAATATAAATTAAAGAACTTCCATCAGGTTGAATCCCAGGAAACGAAAAACACTAATATGAGATAAAAGTTTCCACACGAGTATCTTTCCTCAACACCCCACGACGGATGAGTGAGTCGCTATCACCTCCTCTGGTTTTAGGAATTCCTCTACTTAGGTTTAATATAACATTACATCGATTAAACCACCAACAAAAGTACTAATGGGTTATCCCACATAAAGTAAGTACACACAATCATAAATCTCTTGCACAATATAACCACTACGATTCAAAATGGCTCCCTCCTTCCCGCACGCTGCACTGTACGAGTATTTATGAGAACCAAGTTTACTATAAATTAATAGCTAAGGTGTAATAAAGTGTTAAATAAAAGGTTTCTTCTTCCTCATACTTGATGTACAGTGTTTTGTTCACGGGTCTGTTGTTCATGTGCTCTTGTGAAGGAGGGGGCGAGTTACATGTGGCTGACGGTGACTAGATCTTTTATGAGCTATGGTGATGTATTTTACGAGTTATGGTGATGTATTTTATGAGTTATGGTGATGTATTTTATGAGCTATGGTGATGTATTTTATGAGCTATGGTGATGTATTTTATGAGCTATGGTGATGTATTTTATGAGCTATGGTGATGTATTTTATGAGTTATGGTGATGTATTTTATGAGCTATGGTGATGTATTTTATGAGTTATGGTGATGTATTTTATGAGCTATGGTGATGTATTTTATGAGCTATGGTGATGTTTTGTGTGAGTGTGTGTATTTCTGTGGGTTTGTGTGTGTATATATATATGCGTGTGTCTAAATGTGCGTGTTTATTATGCTATAGTGTGTGCATAACCGAGTATTTGGTGTATGTGCGTAGCAATGGTGTGTGTGTGTGTCATGTATACCATATTTACCGTACCCTGTGTGTGTGTGTGTGTGACTGATATAGGAACAATATAGTTTAGGTCATCCGGAGAGCTAGTGAGCGTGTCTCCACAAGTCAGCCAGGCATCAGTCTATTGAGCTGTGAGACCCCATCATTTCTCTCTCTGCTTCTCTGTCCGATGATTCAATAATCTATCTGACTTCTCAAATATTCATCCGCGCATCAAATTCTATATTCATCTATCTCATGGTTAACTATATTCTATAAAATAATAAACACATATTACAAAAGGAAATTGAATAAAGATTGTGATTTATTCTGTGAGTGTGAGTTGTGATTTGAGTTGTGTTAGTTATTAAAGAAGCCAGTAAGAACATTAATGTACAATAAAGTAGCGAAAGCAAGACGCGGCAGCAAGGTTGTGGGCGGCCAGTGGGTAAAGCAGCAGGGTGTGTGACGTTATGACTCACTATACAGGTCATAGTGGGAGGACAGCAAGATATAGAACTGGATAGATAGACTGTATAGATAGATAGGTACAGAGGCATATGAAGTAAATGATAAATAAACAGAGAGAAAGGGAACAAACGAAACGTTCCAATATAGTTTGCTGAATAGAATAATGCAAATACAACAACGCGAGACACTCAATATTGCAGATCCCTGACCGATGTTGATTACCTTTGAAATTACTTGATCCAACAACACGCACTGAGATCACAAGCAAGAACCTGACTAAGAGTTTATTACAGTTCCAGCACAAATTGAAATCAGTACACGGAGTCTCCCATTAATTATTCACAGCTGCCTGATGATGACGAACCGCAGGGTGTGTCTATGTACGGACTCTGACGCTTGTTTGTTGATTCTAATTTATTTACTACTTGTATATATGTGTGAGGTGGACTACATCGCTGGATTATTTTCGGTCATTCAAGATAAGAGATAATGTAATATTTTTCAATTGTTTAATAAGCCGAGCCGTGTATATTGACTTGGTTGATGGTTATGACAAACAGTAGTTTTTTTGTTTATGACTTTTAGGAGATTTGTATCACTTGGAGACTTTCCTGGAACCATTTACTCTGATAGATTTACACAGCTAACAAGGAAATGAAAGACACGACAAGTAAGTGGATTTGGTCTATTGTAACAAATTATGGTGCAAATAATGGCGTGGATTTGGTTTTTTTAATATATCCGCCGACGCTCCTTAGCAAAACAGGTACAGCGAATCACTCATTAAGTTGATTAAAATGTTACTGACATGTTGTTTGGCGATAATGTACTAACTTTTGGTGAATTACAAACCACAATGTTTGAGGTAGCTAATTTACTTAACCAGAGACCTATATCAGTTCGGCCAGGCTCGGATGTAAACCTTGGTCAATATCTACGTCCTAATGAATTATTACTCGGACGTACCTCAAATTCCTAGTTAAATGACCCTCTCTCCCATGGTATTATATGTTATGTATGGACTACTATTGTCATTTATATATTTCAATTGTTATTCTCTACATGATGGTCTTTAACCAATCATAACCACAACGAAATACTTTACATATAAGTTGTCGCTCTTCTCCAATTAACCCTACGTTGTACACAGTATATAAGTGTATATTACCTTCCGTGCAAAACTACAAACTTTTCCCTTTGTCACAATCGACCTATCATTACACAGCAGCACACCCCAACGCTTGGTAGCACACCCCGACGCTTGGTAGCACACCCCGACGCTCGGTAACACACCACAATCACCGTAATTACCAACACAATTTCCCAATAGATTTATGAACTTGACGGAACATAAAGTTTTCCCGCTAACTTGTAAATTCATGCGTTTGTTTTTTCCTGATAATTTATTGCTGTTTCCTACGGCCACTTTTTTGTTCACTTACGAAGGGAGTCATAATGATAGGGACTTGAGGATAACCATCACACAAGAACTGTAAGACTCACCTACACACAAGTGGTCTAATTAAACTATAAGTGGACTGGGTACATTCCTGTTGACACTTTCATACTAATAAACATATTTTCGTCAAAAATTATAAAAATGTAAAAAAAAAACAGAATTAAGAGATGCTTAACTTTTACTGTTTAACTAAAGAAGGAAATAAATAATCCTGTTTTACAAGTTTATTCACAGCTTAAATCCAGGGGTTTGGTATCTATTAACCCACTGTTTCATACCGTGGTGGCCTTGATAAAGTCACATTAAATTATAGTACACGAAACAGGTGGTGGGCGGCGACCCGTCATTTACGTGAATCACTTGAAAACATAGTAATAATATACCACTAAAATACAATATTAATAAACTTTGAAGGGAGGAAAGAGAGAAACCCTGAAAAATAAATCCATCTTCACTATATAAGACCTTGAGATTATTACCTGCACTTAATGTACACCTGTTATTAGGGATGATACAGGTGAGTGTTTACATGATGTCGTGCTGTGTGGTGATAACTGTTTATATAAGGACTATAATTTGTGTGAGTACAAAGTAGACACGCTAGGAGCTCTGACCGTCAGTGGGGAGGACAATAAACATTTGGTAGAGACTGAGTGTGTCGTATTAGCGTGTGACAACAGCTTGATTCCTGATTTGTTCTTCTCTCTGCCACTAGAAACAGCTGTGCCTTCTCCCCTGTCGCAGCAGCCGGTTAAATAGGAGTCTGATAGGTGCTGTAGCCGGTTAAGTAGATGAGGTTACTTATGTGTGCGTTGGGTCGGGTTATGTTACAGCAAAATTATCAATGTTAAAAACAGATCCAGGAACAAAACTACAAACCCAACCTATTCTAGACCAGGCGACGGACAGGAGAGAAGCAGCCAATGTCATTATAACACCTGTGCAAGTTACAGGTATACGACGCAAGGTAAAGAGATTCACCACTTAGCACAAGGTGTCTCAGAAAAATGTAAACACACTGCCTTACAGATTTTCGTGGAGAAAACATTGTCCTTACGTGTTGATGTGTAATGCCCCCCCCCCCTCCCCTTCCCGTGTGAGTACTATGTTGGTACTGTAATACATTGTCCTCACTCATTCATAGTTGTTCTTGTAGTAGAAAAATTCCTGCGATCTCCATGAAAATCGGTAAGGTAGTGTGTATACATTTTTCTGAGACATCCTGATATACTGGTACTGTCACGCTGTTGATAATGCATGAAGTCATTGGTCACGCCAAGATCACCAGCCGCTGCAGTAACGGAAATACCAACAGCAATGATAGAAAAATTAACGGCATTAGAGGAAATGACAACAACATTATCGAAAGTCCCAACAGCATTAAGCGTATAACTCACCTTGAACGGGAACAGCAGTAAAATGGTACAGCAGAAGGAACAGCGCCCACTCAGCTTTCCTACACATACTGCACTTTTGTTTCCTTAACATTGTCGGCATGTCGGCCTCTCGTTAGTCTTGACTATTGACAATATTTATCAATAGATGTCTGATAATCATGTTTACATCACTTCCTCCTTGATGAGTCACAGCCCACGGACTCGCCAGGGAAGGCAATATTTTCTCGGCCAAAATATATTCGCTAAACCAACTTCTTCACTCGATGTGATTACCTTTCTTCATATATTATGATGTCCACTTTCAGCCAAATTTAAGTCCAACGTATTGATATATTGTGTAGTTTGAGCCACAGTTCAAGTAATTTTAATGGTAGTTCAGTAAAATGAGCGTCACATCCCAGGTGTTGCACGCGGAGAGGGGCTCAGCACGTGACGGAAAGGAGGCTACACGTGCACTGACCTAACTATCCACCTCCAGCGTATGGACTTGTGGGCGACCTCCACCACCGCCACCTACCTGCGCGCGCCCAAGAACTACCTCGCCGCTAAGGCTGGGTGACGCATCCACTTGCTAACACTTCCACCACATTAGTTCACCCATTGAGCAGGACAATTATGACGACGCGGCGATATTAATCAAGTTATATAACACGATGTTGACCACTTTCACACCTTAATACTGATCAAGAAAGCGATAGGAATTACACACACACACACGCACACATCGAGGATGGCCGGCCCACGGGCCTCCTAGGCGTGAATTTGTTAAGGTGTAGAATCTGTCATCAACACACCAACCACACCCCAAGTTAACGAGCTGCATGACCCAGTGTCAAGGAATAGTCCGAGAAGACTGGACAACTCGCCAACTGCACTGGCTAACCATTACCCCGGAATACGATCCGCAAATCGATTAACATCCAGGTTCCCAATTACTGCTGGGTAGACAGAGGGAAATGGCGTAAAGAAACTTGCCCATAGTTTCACCCTGTCGCAGTACGATGGACAAATGGAGTAAAAATAATCAAAATTATGACGTAACGCAGTAACCTGTTGAAGTAAAGTATGTAAATATTGTTACACTAGATTTTAGAAAAATGATTTTCTTCGTGATATTAGTTTCCACACCTGATATGGACGAAAATACTGTTCTTGTTCCTGGAAACGGAAGTTGAAGAAAAAATGGAAATGGAGACGTAATTTAGACTTATTGGAAGTTTAAAGTTTTAATTTTAAAGTTTGAATTAAAGTTTGAATTCAATTTCATATTAGTTTATAAGACTATTTTCACAGGGAGGTAGTGAGGTATAGTTCTGTGTTCTTGACCTTCAAGACTTTTGCGTCCACAGTGATTAACGTGGAAGTTATTATGGTATCGTCAACTTGGTGGTCATACAGGTGTTCCGTCAAGAAGTGTAATAAACATTTTGTATCGTTCACTAAACACAAATTTAATACATTAATCTATGTGTGATAAAGATTACTTACAGTATTCCAGCGAATATTTAATACATACAGTACAACGCTTGTTTAATATTATATCCGTGTCAACGTAAACACCTTCAACCCTTTCTACCGTAGTCTCTCGTCTTCTGAAATATCTCAGCGTGTCTCAGAAAAATGTATACACACTGCTATTCAGATTTCCCTGGAGGTTGACGTTGCGTGATTGCTTGAATTATAACAGAAAAATTATCTTCACTCGTTGATCTGCGAGGTCTCCACATAGTAAGATTATTGTCTTGATGATAAAAGTATTCACGCGATCTCCACGAAAGTCTGTAAGGCAGTTTGTATACATTATTATACACCAAGTATAGCCAAGAGATAAATTTTGTATGGGAAGGACTTCGTTTTATCGTTCCTTCTTCATTGATCTTGTGGCATCTCACACATACGGTATTTATTTATTAGTTTGCGATTCTGTCTCCGTCTATACATACCACACCCTCGTCTAACGTCTCCCCCCTTGGTGTGGATAAGCCTTGTGAATTTAATCAAGAGTTCGTCGCTAAAAAGGTGGATAAGTATCGTCTTATACGAGTTAAATGCAACACCATGCAGGGAGCGTTTTCTGAACCTATGAGTCACCATCTTCACAGACAACAGAGTAAAATATGTCTACCTAACTCCCCAGATGTGCCTAAACTTAGGATTACACCCCTTGCCAGTCAGGTGGTCTCAGGAGGATTACAAAGACATACACGGACTTCCCAAACAGGAAAACTTAAGGCTCTGGTGAGGGTTAATTATCTCTGGGGAGGCCCTAAGAACAAATTAAACTCCCAAGGGGCTTAGGTTTTCCAGCCAGAAGAACAGTAAAAGAAACAGAATAACCATCCAGACAAGTACTGTGTACATACTGTGTGGGGTCACGGTCGCCAAACTCCGCTTCACCTGACACACACAACACGGGCTCGCATCTTCTACGGGATCAACGAGACAGTGATTAGCAAAAAAACAAACCATAAATAGCAATAATTACGAGGAAACATAAAAAAGGGCAGAAACAAATAAAGGCAAAAATGTGAATCGTCTTTTCTTGATACTACAGTGTTTTAAAATGATTTATCGCCCGTTTTCACTTAAAGAGAGTGATCAGAGAATCCAGTGCAAGAGTATCGTTATTATACTTTACTGTAAGGGAAAACGTTGACATGAAAAAAAAATATTAATAATAAATAATAATTGAAAAAATAAAAAGATGGGCGCAGTTATAACATGATGATGGTGTGTCAACTGGAATACAAAGCTTGCAATAACTCAAGAACATGTTAGAATTTACTGCCCAGTACAATACATCCATTATATGAATTTGTTACAAGTCATAATATATTATTGGCCATTTTAAAGTAACTAACCAAGACTCCGGAGTAATTGTGTAGCCTGACACATATTGATGATGAAGTGTTTAAACTGTAGCAACATTACGATACGCTGTCTGGTTACACTACGATCCGCTATTAGGTTACATTACGATCCGCTATTAGGTTACATTACGATCCGCTATTTGGTTACATTACGATCCGCTATTTGGTTACATTACGATCCGCTATTTGGTTACACTACAATCCGCTATTTGGTTACATTACGATCCGCTATTTGGTTACATTACGATCCGCTATTTGGTTACATTACAATCCGCTATTTGGTTACATTACGATCCGCTATTTGGTTACATTACGATCCGCTATTTGGTTACATTATGATCCGCTATTTGGTTACATTACGATCCGCTATTTGGTTACATTACGATCCGCTATTTGGTTACATTACGATCCGCTATTTGGTTACATTACGATCCGCTATTTTGGTTACATTACAATCCGCTATTTGTTATTACGATCCGCTATTAGGTTACCACGATCCGCTATTAGGTTAGCGATCCGCTATTTGGTTACATTACGATCCGCTATTTGATTACATTACGATCCGCTATTTGGTTACATTACGATCCGCTATTTGGTTACATTACGATCCGCTATTTGGTTACATTACGATCCGCTATTTGGTTACATTACAATCCGCTATTTGGTTACATTACAATCCGCTATTTGGTTACATTACACTCCGCTATTAGGTTACATTACGATCCGCTATTTGGTTACATTACGATCCGCTATTTGGTTACATTACAATCCGCTATTTGGTTACATTACGATCCGCTATTAGGTTACATTACGATCCGCTATTAGGTTACATTACGATCCGCTATTAGGTTACATTACGATCCGCTATTAGGTTACATTATTCTTCATTCAAAATGCTGACACTCATAAGGTTATATAACTGTCCTTGTATACAGGCAACTACTGTACCATATTGTATTAAACAGAGTAAGACTTCCTGGTCCTCTAAGTCAGTTCACTTTACAGGTTTATTTCTATCATTTGATTTACCTGTACCTATAATTGTTGTGTTGAGAAGCATTTTTGTGTGGTCAACATTCACTCGTCTGTTTGTGGATTTAATAGAACAATGAAATAATTTTATTAGTATTTGGTGAAAAACATCGAACTGAGAGCCAGAATCTGTTTAAATGATCGTCCGTCCCTTTCACTAGTACCAATAACCTCACAGGAGAACACTCAGTAATGATCCAGAGAGGTCAGCAGTAAGAGCAGTGAAGGGTATTGGAATCTACTGTACCTATCGCGTGTTCGATTCCATGAGCACGACCAATGACTATTTTTCAGACCCAGTCTAAAACGACACGAGTGACATGAGCGCCAAGCCATCATAAACAATCAAGATTAAAAGATTCAAAAACCTTTAATCATTATTTTACTTAGAGATATACGAAACATCTGAGATTCTGGGAACTGAGAGCTTCGTGTATCATGGTAAGGTCTCATGCCTTCCTCCTAATGTAGTACCTGATAAAACTTGCTTATATAAACCCTAATCTAACCCCTTTTGACTGGCATGAGACAATTGCAGATAGAGGAAATTCCGCTAAATTTCTCGAACAACATAACTGAAAGGATAAGCCAGTAGGGGGTGAAAATGGCGCCACACGCGATGCTCACATGTTTCATATTTATGGTCAACTCCTGGAGCTGTTCGTCTTATTCGCTGTCATTTTATTATCAATACAAATTTGGTAATGGTCTGTATATCACCTGTATAAGTGTTCAATAATTCTAATCAGAGCCGACGTGTCATTAACAAAGGTATTATTTAAGATGATAATTATAGCATCTTCATGACTGTATTATATCATGTCCCAGGATATTGATGAGAGTTCTGTTCTTCATGACGCCTCGGGTGACAGTGATGCTAAGACAAGGATTATAAGGAGTTAACCCGTCTACACAAGGTCAGGTGTATCTCTTGTTAGATCACGTGCCCTGGCTAGACACACCGAACCGTATGACCATTGGTTTTCCTAAAATTTTATCACGTCTCCCTTAGCCAAGACGTAAATCATCTTTTCAAGTTATATTAGATAGATATTACTTCGTTCATTGTTTAAGGTCAAAAAGGATATATGCGGCTCTTGGTTACAATAACATAAGATGGTTCCAAGGCCAAATAAAATGGATCCATGTTCTATATTTTTATGTAGGTCGCTGGCACAATCCTAACAATAACCTTCAACTAAATCTTATAATCACATCTCTGAATGATCCGTTGGAGCCTCTAAGCCTGAGTTACTGTTACCATTATCATGACGTCAACAGGTGTGACTCAGAAGGCAGTGATGCAGGCTGACGGTGGTTTCTTTTCAGTAGACCACCTCCCTAAACCCAAGTGTGTTAATAAAATAGCTGATGTTATATAATGGATAACAACAACATTGATTGGGAAGCGTTTCACTTAGCATTGTCAACTACTATGGTGACAGAGTAATTGCATCAAGTCCTGAACCAAAGAAGAAATCACCGCCCTCAAAGACTTTACAGCTGATAAATTAATTGTTATAACTAAACCACATACAGGCACTGGAGTAAGTGTTACTTAACAAAGA